TCGATAACCAGAATTTTGTTACGACAAGTATACTCAAAGGACATACCTACTACGGAAACTACCGTTTTGTACACCTTTTAAACATTGAATACATTATAATATAAATATTGTGCATTATATAAAATACGAAGGAGTTATGTATAATGTCGTGGGCAAAAAGCAAAAAAAAAATAAAATACAATACAAAACGTTTAGAATGTCTGGCATGCAAAAGTGTCAACCGCACTCCCGAGGGGTGGCCCTTTTAACCGTGTAATTCACGCTGCTTTTTATTTGCCCATCAATCATAATAATACGTACAAAATAATACGTTTATTGTGAAATAAGAAAAAAATAAAAAAATGTCAAAAAAACGTATAAAACATTTTTGGATTATCATAACAATGTAAACAAAACTAATAGGTACCTATATAAAAACATGACAAATCTCGCGGAATACGACAATAGGTACCAAATAGGTACACTCCCTGTATATTGGTATACAACACCATAGCCAATAACACTGAATTAGTGTACATAGACATACTATACGATTTACTTTTAATCGTTGCACGTTATAAGTACTAAAAAACTACGATATTCTTATGGGAGGGGGGGGTGGTAGGGAATAAAAATAAATGAACAAACTTTCTAAACTCAACGTATTTGTATATTAATATACGTGTTACAGATAAATATAATATTATTCGAAATCGGGGATTGTCGTAATAATATTTAAAAAATCCGAGCCCCGCCGCTTTTATGTACTTAATGTACGTAACCTAGCCTGTATATAATAGTTAGTCATGTGTGGTTAATCTCAATAATTATAACCCAATATGGCATAGGTGTATAATGTATTATTATTATATTTTATTGCATTACCCAAGACGTGTGTCTAATTAATACTGTATATTACCCGGCTATTGTTAACGTTTACCGCAGTTGGGTGACATGTATCATGGGCATATGCACCTACATAATAAACGCATAAAATATTATAATATTATGCGAAATCACGTTAGTATAGTGGCTATTTTTTTTTTCTTTCGCGTTCGTCGACATACTTATACATTTCGCGCACCGAAAACAAAATGTATAGCTATATAGGTGTGTCACACGAGCACTTTGTAATAACGATATTACACCGTTTATAAGTCGATAATTTTTTTCCGCGTGCTTTTTGATATTCTCGTGCGTTCAATATATTTTCACGATGATACATTTATGACTTGTTACCGAAACTGCGTATATAATATTGCGTGAGTATAAGTTAAACCATAATTATTACTATGTAATAAATTATGTACCATATTGATCTGGTGTATACTGATTTACATTGTTTAACAAAACATACCGGTGCCTTTTGATATTATAATTATTCATTTATATCCAAATTGTATTATTTTATACCGAGTTTCAATCCTTTATTTATATACATTCTATTCGAATGTACATAAACATACATTGTACATCTTTTTATATTTTCAAAATAGTATTGTTTTTAAAACAAGTACTTTTTCATGGTGCTAAGTTTTCGGTTTTTAAACATATTTTGAACAATAAACTGGAATTCATATGATATACCGCACAATATACCATTTTCCTATATGATTCTGCACATGTTCATTATATAAAATATTTTTTACCTTAAAATAACTCGATTACGCATAAAAATCGATGGGACTTTGCCAGTCATGGTTTTTAAAAAAATACAAAATAGTTTGAATTTTAATTGTTAATATAATAAAAATAACAGTTTTAAAATTGTATCGTAAATAAAACAAATGTGTTAAAATATTGCATTGTAGGTAAAACAAATTATTTAAAAAAAAAATGTGTGAGTGGTAAATAAAATCGTTTGTGTAACTATATATTGGGTAAAGTAGTAAAAATGTACATGTGAATTGGTAAATAATAAAATGCTTCATCTCAAAATAATTCTGAATAAAATTGAGTCAATAAATTTGTATTATTTGGAGAATAAATAAATTGATTATTTTTAAATATTAAATTTTTGTCAGTTTTTAAAGTACAGGAAAATATTTTCTTCGTTTGTCATATTATATTGCTTTACTTACAAATTTAATTTCACGGTGAATAAAAATGTATAGCTACGCGTAATTGCGAATCACCGAATTAACTATAATTCCATATACCTACATGGATTTCGGAATTAATTAGGTATTCTTGTATACGTTACGTGTTCTCAGCCCAATCGCCTCTAGACAAAAAACTAAATAAAAAAACAAGAAAAATATCTAAACGAGAGTGAGAGAAAAAAAGATAAAATGTAAAACTGTTGGTTGTAATTGTGGTTTCGGGTGGTTTCGGGTGGTTTCAAGTGCAGGTGATATACAGTAGTATCTTACGAGTGGATGCCTTGAGAAAATTCAGTTACGTGTTATATGAAATGTTATTGTTTAACAGTGGTTTGTAAATTTGCACTTGGTAGTAATGAAGCTTCCGATGTCTTCACACTTCCACTCTCACTCGTATTTTTGTGCACAGGTTTACCGATTACGCGTTGATATTTAAAAAGAACGTTACCTACCCGTTGAATTATTTTATATGCGACTTAGGACGCGACTCTGATTAATGTTGTCACAGAACTTCTGGCATATGAGGGTTACATAGTTGGTATACCACGGCGGTCTGGTGTGGTTCACACGATGATACGCTACAACCGTGATCACGAGGAAAGTGATGGTTTTAAAGTGCGATAACCGGTGGTATCAATGCCAGTAACCGCAAGAAAGCCGGTTTTATACTCGGTAACCGGTGGTATCAATTCCACGGCAGTCATGGTTTTATGTGGTATATATCGCGACGTGGTTATACTGAGCGGTCGGTTGTCGTCGATAAAACAATTACGCGTGGTACGTTGCAGGTTGGTCCGTAACCTTGATGAAAACGTTTTCGTGCGGTGTACCCGGTATGGTATGTATCGCGGTCGTTCCGTTGATAAAGCCAATTTTATGCGATAATTTAATATAATAATGTATATCATTTATTTCTTACAAGTATTATCGCCGTGTATCGTGACTCGCAGGTCGTTACCATATACTATTACGTAATTTTATTCCAATTGACAACTATTATTCTACCATAGTATTCCGATGGTACCATTTAAATAGACGGGCGTTTGTTAAAATCACGGAAAGAAAAAAACAGGCGAAAACTCTTCATTTTTCAAAACACATTTTGATTATTTTTAGTTAAAATGTCGTTAGAGGTAAATAAAATCCACTGTTAATATAATGTTTTGGTTTAAATCAATTATATCCGACGAAAATATATGATATACTATTAATATCAGCTTTGCAGATTGCTTTTCAACAGTTTTACGGTCTCCGGTGGATTGTAAACGCTTTTCTACCTAACTTCGGTATAGTAGAGTCGTGCATTTGAACTAAATAGTCAATCAATACGCGTGAAAGGCGTGGAAGTTCGAGTAGGCGTTTTATTGATATACCTATACGAGTAGATTGTGTCTTAAAGCATGTTTAATGCATAATTTTTATGTCATGCAATTATTATGGATTACCTTGCTGCCCGCTGAAGTTTATTATTAATAATACCATAATAATATTAATATTATAATTGACACCTACTGGCGATTTGATCATATAAATCACATATTTACTCGCATATTGTACATACTGAAATTGAACAGGACTTTCACAAGGAAGCTGATTTTGAAAATTATACGTGGAAAATCTGAAAGATAATTAAGTTTGAAACTTGAATGTAATGACAAACCATGCCAGATCAAGTAAATACAATTATAATGGAGTTTTTTTCACAGGTTTGAGTAACTATTATGTTTTTTGGTTTACAATTATACGGGGCTAAATAAATTGCATAGATTAGCTACATTCAAATACGGGAGTAAATAAGTCGTATAAGAAATAATAATAAATTAAAACATTAAAAATAATAATCACAACAAGTATTCAATATTTATATTTATTTGTTTACGAAAAGATAATACTTATGTACAAAATATAAACGAGTATTTGTTTTATTTACATAGACTTCATTGGTTATAACAGTAAATCCAGAATTATTATTTAAGAGAGGGGCATCAAATATCAGCTACATTATATCAATTATCAAAGAAATCTACGAACAGACAAGTGAGGTGATAGAAATGACAATGGAAAAAACAAGCCTAATTGTATTAGGAATAATAAAAATAATATTATATTATACATACAGTTTTATGAAAGTAACAAATGGAGCCGACTCATTGAAGACCGAATTCACAAGGAAGAGTTGTTTTACATATTTGAATTTTTTAATCAAAAACAAAAAAAAAACCAAATATCTACTAACGATCATTATTGTTCCGTTAGTATTACCGAGATACTAACGAATAGGCCAAGAAAAATGTCAAATTTAAAGATCGAGTGTAGGGGTACATGTTCATATAAACAAGAAACATAGCAAACTAAGAGAAAGAAGGAAAAATGGACCAGATATATAACGAGAAATAATGAATAGATGACAACAATTATGAAATTCAAGATTGAGAGAAGAGCAAGAAGAGTTAGACCAAGGACTCTGTTTATGACACAAATATAAGGTATAAGAATACATATGAGATATAAGAGAAGAACGTACAAGGAAATAAGAATAGCTGTGATGAATATAGACAGACCGATTTAACAGCAAACGAAGTATTTAATGATCCGGTAAAATTTGTAATCTTCTGGAAAATAGTAGGCCATAGGTATTCAGGTTTCTCATGTTTAAATAAATGTTCTTAAAATATCTAAAACGTATTTAATTAGTATGAGACAATTTCTCAACAATGCCGTTATCGAATTTATAAGCGGTAGGTACAAATTGGTAGTGCTATACGTCAATAATTGATCAAATATTATGATTTGTAATAAGAAAACGAATAAATGAATCGCTATTCTGACAGCGTTCTTGGTTCGTTCAGCTATGCATACGTCGAGCCAAAAGCAACCAAACATTACCATAAGATAAAGAAATTTAGGTAAAATAAGTATCAGATTGAAAACGGCATTCAGTTGAGTCGAAATCAGTTGTGAAATTGAGAAGAGCAATGTGACTAGTGTATCATTTACGAATACTTCATCATCTTTGGCAGCTATATCATCATTTTCGGCAGCTATAAAATCACATTCGGCCGCTACATCATCTTCGGAAAATAATTCTTGGAGTTTCGACATTTTATTGAAATCTTAGTGTCCGCTGTACAATAATAATATATCTTTAATAAATAATTCAAATATTATTATTTTTTGTATGGATAGATAAGTTGAACTCGAAAATATATTAATAATATAAATCAACGTTTTTGATTTAACAAACTGTGTTATTTTATTAATTATAAAACATACAAGCAATTATGTACAATTTGTTGCTATAGTAAAATAAAACCGTTTTTGTCAATGGCCAAATAATAATACCGTGATATGAAGTTATAGCTAGGACGATGGTGACGAAAAATCATTAAAAATTTGGTCCAAAGTACGTAAAATGTGTCAATTGACGCACAAATAATAAACTCAATATGATATAAAATGACAAATTTACTTATAAAATCAAAAAAATTGACTTATTTACTTCGCGAAGAAACCATATCCAAAATTCAATAAAAAAAATATCTTAGCACTTTTTGATTAAAGCAATATTTCTGATAGAAAACGTAGTACGTAATAAATTAAAAACAATGAAATAGGTAACACGATTGGGTACGCCGTAAATATTTGCCGTCGTAACTATAATTTTTTTTCCGTGTTTTCCCAATTATTCTGAAAACCCTTTGGTAAATCAAAAATTAGACTACCAACTAGTTCTAAAATTCAACAAAAAATTGCACTTATTATTTTCCAAACGAAGTAAGTTTTCTATTCGAACAGTTATTTACAGTTTTCTGAAGGGGAATTGTATCTGGGTGATACTTAAAAAAATTTCATTTTCCAAGCAGTTTTTATAGTAATTTGAAAAAAATCGTAGGAAAACGCGCACAATTTACGAAAAAAATGCTTTTATTATTTTCAATTTTGTTTTTTTGTTGTAAATTCAATGAAAAATACTCGTAGAGACTTGAAATTTGGACAGAAAACTTATACTTACCTTTTTATGTAGACTTTTTTTAGACATGGGAAAATTTGAATATATTTTAGCAATCTTTGAGCAAGCATTTATAGAAATTTTAATTTTACGTGTTTTTACATAATTTTTATTCAGTAGATATTCTGTTGATAAAATTGTTAGACCAAACAGAAATACTTGACTATTTAACAGAAGGTTCATTATAAGTTTTACTTTGTGGTCAAAAAAAAAAAAAAAAAAAAATGAGCGTAATGTATTTTTTTTGTTTTTATACAATTTTTGACGAAAATCGTAAATATTATGGCCTTTCAAAACCACGTATAATTGAACTCCGCTCATAATCTTTTTTCGTTCACAATGATTATTCGTTGTTAATAGATATACATTAAATTTCTCTCTACCTTCTCTACTTTTCACCTATACCAGTGGCTGTCTAGTGTTCAAATTTAATCAATACACAAATATGATTAGGCTAAATGTAAAACTCACGTGTTCTAAAAAAAAAATGTTTCAGAAAAACTGGGAAAGGGGTTTCCTGTAAAACGAAAAGAACCAAAATGCAGTTTCAGATGCATAAAATATAACCAAAATTTAAGATTTTAGATGCTCTCTATATTCTTTTTTGTGGTTGAAGTTTGAACACGTGGCTACGGAACCTTTGAGTTTTGATGTGGAATATATTTTCATATAATGGATCATGTGATTTTTGATGTGGGTTAAAATATTATAGTTCGCTCAGAATCGTTTTTATTATCATTGATTTTTCTACCTTCCAAACTTTCAACCTACAACAGTGACCTGTCAACAATATCAGTTATCTTTTTAAATTCATAAAGTGTATTTTCAAATAATCATATATATGAACGTGATTATCAATTATATAGGTATATCTTACAATTTTATGTCCGATTAAAGAAATGAAAGTGTTCTTTAGCCTTAGCCAAACACATTCGTAGTACTGTGTATTATTTTACAATTACAGTTGTTTTATACCTTTTTTTTTATTTATATATAAAATATAATGTGTTTTAAAACAATAATTTCGAATTCCTCTATATATTTATTTTTTTTTTTTTTAACGGACTACCATACTTTTGTAACATAAATTTCGATTTCTCTTCTTCGGCGCTAAAAAAAAAAAAAAAATATTGTTATTATTATTATTATTATTGAATAATTATTGTGGATTTACCTATGAAAAATGTGATATTTCTCTAAACTAGTTTTGTTAAATACTTTTCAAATATGTTCAGAATACATTTTTAAATACTTGGTTCATTAATTATTATATTCGAACACATTCTTTTCAATTTATTTGATTATAAATACATATATTTGTTAATAAATTATAAAATGATTGCATTGAGTAATTAAGTATTTCTGTTATAATATTATACTTTGAAGAAATTATATTGCAAATGTGTAAAAGAATCATATGATACCTTTTTTTTAAGAAACAATTAAAATTTCAAATCTTAAGTATGAAAATATTGTATAAAACGGTAAAAAGAACTAAAGTATTTTTTATTCCGCAATAAAAAAATGACAAAAAGTATTTCATAAATATTTTAAATACAAAAAAAAGAATTTAAATTTTTAATTCATGAATTTGGAATAATTTGTTTCGGATTCGTTAGGTGTAATATTTTATTATATTTGAAAATACGAAGTTATTGGTTTTACGACGTAAAGTAATTTTAGATTCTAAGCGGTGCGAGAAATGTATAGGTTATTACAATGATGTTTGTTATATTTTTTTCCCCACGAACATCTTTTCTGCCAGCAATTTCGCTCCGATTTACAATGATAGCACTTTTTCTGAAAGGAAATACGACTATGGTGGTACTTCAAAGGGGTCGCTATTTGATTTTCCCTGTTGTTTTTATAGTGAATATTAAAAACCGGGGAAAACATGATAAAAACCGGGAGAAAACTTAGGAAAAACGGAAAAATAGGTTTTTAATATTAAATAGAATATTTACTATAATTTTTACTATAATAATTATAAATTTTATTTTTTTATGTAACACAATATACTATAGGCTATTGAAAATTAAGCGTACGTTTCATTTTAAATTTATCACGGCTGCAACGTTATCCATTATCTTCGGAACTGCATATATATACATAATACTTAATGGCCGTATTAATTATCATCTGTCATAGCAATATTCCGGAGCACCTAAAATAGTATGTACAATGTGCATTGTACATGCTTATTTATATTTTTTGACACTAGTAACAATAAATTGTATTAAAATCAAAAACTTCAAATAAATTAAGGCACGCTTATATTCAACGAGTGGGCGTACCTGGAAAACAATTCGGAAATCAGTAATTTTGCTATAGAACTGTAAATGTCTATGTAATTAATAAGATTGAATGGTTTTGGAAATGAATAAGAAGATCAAAATATGGCATGCATTTTATAACTTTACGTGTCTTATACTTTTGACTTTGCCCCCCCCCCCCGGTTTATATTTCTGTGGACGCCCTTGCTTGATATTATATAGTTATACATAGTGTATATTTAACCTTCATAATAACATTTAAAACTATGTATAACCATTTACTCATTATTATTTTGGTATGATTCTATTGAAAATCTAAATCCAAATAAATTTATCTTGTTAGTAAATAAGACATTTTTATCTATTATTGACAATATTGTATTTTTGCATCAGTATAAATGTTGAGTCATTGAGTGTTTTAACATTGTCTTACAATTGCTGATTTTTCCAGTTTTTGTTATTTGTTATTTTTCATTTCCACAATTTACACTACTTTTCATGAGTAGTTATTAGTTATAATTAAATGCATTGTATTTAGTTTTAACACAAGACCACAAGTCACAACTACTTATAAATTATAATTGATAAATATGTTTTATTTAACATTAATTTTAGTTTATATTCACATTCGTTTAATTCATATTTAAATGATAAGCATTTAACTTTACAAAAAATTTGAATAAACAATAATAACAAAATCATACTCCCTGGATGTGTTAATAGCCCTTTTTCATTCGCAGTAATTACCGGTATAAAGTTTTTTCTTGATAAACTTGGCTTTATAACTCGTGCAATGAAATAAAACATTTTTTTAATTTTTTAGCCATTGTTAAATGTAAAAATTATTAATAGTCAAAACACTCATGTCTCATAAAGATAAAAATCATAAACTCATTACAGTACCAACATAATCATTTTTATTATGTACTTATTATCATTTATATTAGATTCAAGTATTGATAACCAACAATGTAAATAGCTGTGATGCAGCGATTCCAACCAAGTAACCTCAACAATTAATTATGTTAAGAAAATTACATTAAAACTATCATTTTCAAATTTTCAATGAAAGTTGAATATTTTTAGAAAATTTTAATGAAAAAAAATATGTTCAAGCTTACATATCTAATCCCACCTCTCCAACTTCTCATGTACAACATCGATATAACCATCAGCAGTGTCGGCTTTATATTATTTTATTATAATTAGGTATTGATGTAGCTTCAAATAGGTATCTCATTTTGACAAGTAAGACGCTTATTATAGTTATTATATATTTGAGTATTATCGATTATCCAATTTTCGCAAATCGATACCCGATTTTAGAATTACAATAAAACAGAGCAAAACGTATTATATTTCATGAATCATATATAACTTATTAAAAGTTTTTACTCGATTTGTGCCGCAAAGTCAGACTAAGTGTACTAAGTTGCTAATAACTTATTAAATTTATATTATTATAGATCAAACTCACTTATATATACATTTAATATATGTGTGTGTTTGGCCATGTCCTACATAATAATAATACATGGTAAGTTTGTTCAAGAATTATTATATGTGTTTTGATATTTTCACGCGCTGCATAAGCAAAGACCCGTCAGAGCGCTACTACAGTTGTAAGCTGATATGTGTAATTTGTGAAACAAAAAAATAAAATTGCGAATAATTATAGACGTGCCACGAGCCACGTAAACAGATTGGCATACGTTTGTTTTTCAAGTTGTCTCGAGGTGTGTTTTTTTTTTCTGTACCTATCATACATAAACGACTTGTATAGACAAATGTGTTTAGGTCCCTAGGTCAGTGTTGTCCGCACCTTCGATACTCAGGTATTATGTC